GGGCCCTCTGCACCCGCCACAGGAGAGCGGGGCCACACGGCCACCAGAACACACACTTGACATGCACATGCATGCAGACACACGTGTGTGCACAGCCTCATGGAGGGGGCAGCACAGGGTCCTCTGCACCCACCACAGGACAGCAAGGCCACACGGCCACCAGAACACGCACTTGACGTGCACATGCATGTAGACACACACGTGTGCACAGCCTCATGGAAGAGCAGCACAGGCCCTCTGCACCCACCACAGGACAGCAAGGCCACACGGCCACCAGAACCCGCACTTGGTGTGCACATGCATGCAGACACACGCATGTGCACAGCCTCATGGAGGGGGGAGCACGGGCCCTCTGCACCCGCCACAGGAGAGCGGGGCCACCCGGCCACCAGAACATGCACTTGACATGCACGTGCATGCAGACACACACGTGTGCACAGCCCCATGGAGGGGGGAGCACCGGCCCTCTGCACCCGCCACAGGAGAGCTGGCTGTGACATGAGGCACCAGCGAACTGCTGTCCATCCAGATTAAAGCTTCTGCCTTCGGATACCACTGAGATCATAAAAGCCAGGTCAGCTCGGGAGAAAGTATTGGATGAAGGACTTGTTTACAAACTAGAGAACTCAAACTCTTTAAAAAGAAACAAAAATCTAGGCAAGAATATTTGAAGAGCTGGGCATGGTGGTACACATCTATAATCCCAGCACTCAGGAGGCTGAGGCAGGAGGGTCACCACAAGCTCAAGTCCAACCTGGGCTATGTAGTGAGAGGACTGGGCAGGGGACACTCCAGGGCCACCTGGCTTCATGCACGAGTCCTGACCGCTCCCAGCTCACTTGCCTGCACCCTTCATGTGGTGCTGGTGCTGGTGCTGAGGATGGGCGGCCCGGTGAGTGGAGGAGGAGGGTAGCAACGCTGGCACAGATGGGCACCCGGACCTTCCTGTTCATGCTAGTGTTGGTGACCTTTGGGCTGGGAAATGCTCCTGGGGGTAAGGGGCCCACTGCAAGCCTGGGCCACAGGTCATCTGACCTCAACACAAATTTGGGCAGGAGGGACGCTGGGTGCACAGTGTTGGGTACACAGGGTGCTGCTCCAAAGCTGGGGAGGGGCAGGACCAGCGGGTGACCCCGGGGCCACCTGGAGTGGCCACAGCCAGGGACCCTGGGGGAAGCCATACAGTGCTATGGGACAGACACATGACTGGTACCTCCTCCACCCAGGCCAGCCATCAGGCAGGGAGGTGCCGGGCAGAAGGGGAGCCATCACTCTGCACCACCTGGACTCGGAGCTCCTTGGGGGCCTAAGTGTGGGCTGTCCTTGCCCAGGCCAAGGGACAGTGTGGCAGGGAAGGGGGATGCACACCCAGCTCCAAGCGTCCTCTCTTGGGAATCCCACCGGTAGCCTCTGAGTTCTGAGCACTGCCAGGAGTGGCCTCCAACAGATGTCCCTACGCACTGGCCAGCAAGGGACACTCCTAGATGGGGCTACTCTGAGCCTGGAGGTGGGGGACTGCCATCAGGACTCCCCAGGTGGAGCCCTACTGGCCACACAGCAGAGACAGCTCATCCGTGGGAAGAGACCACGCCCAAGTCACCACACAGGTGTCACTGGAAAGGACAAGCCTGGGCAGGACTGGCTGCTGTCTCCCTCCAGAACCCTGGGGCCATGGCAGCACTGGTTCAGAGGGCAAAGCCAGGGCATCGGGGCACCAGGGCACCAGAAACTGGCACTGCTCTAAATAGTGTCTGTCCAGTGTCCAGACTTTGGACGGCAGGATGAGGCCACACAGGAACTCCTCATGGGCACGTCCCCTAAGTCACAGCCAGCATGAAGCTGGACACTGAGCTGGCAGGACATCTGAAGTGGTATGTGCAAGGGGCAGTCACAGAACCAGGAGCAGGGGACCCAGGGACAGGAGTGGAAATGGGAGGGCACCGCCCCTCCTGGGGAGGGTAAGGGTAGGGCTGGCACGGACCTGGGGCCCTGGGGCCCTGGGCTTGTCTCAGACCCCTGTGTGATCAAAAGCTCGGCCCATCAGAGGGCTGCAGGCAGGTCTAGCGTGAGCTGGGGACACCATGTCCTGACATGTGTTCACATGTGCATGATGTGTGCTCACGTGCATGCTTCACTCCCAGGAAGAACTGTACCCACGTGGTGTCCCTACGCTCTGCTCCCAAGACACTGCCAAGCCCATCCTGCTCAACGGACGATGTCCATGTGGCAGAAACAGGGGCAGGCTGGGGACAGTGAGGGCCCACGCAGCAGGCACTGGGGTAGCCTCAGGGAGACTCTGTGGGCATCTTGTTCCCCATGGCATCACTGCCCACCACCTAAGTGTGCTGGGGTGGAGGACAGGGCAATCAAGGTACTGGTTCTGGGCAGCAGCCTCAGCAGGACGAGGGCAAAGGTGGCAGAGATGGGGACACAACAGCCCCGCAGGGCGGGCCAAGGCTGTCACCTCCCCCGTCCAATGTGTGTCCTCGCAATGTCCTGGACATGCTGTCCACAGTGCCCAGTAAACAAGTGGTGGCACCAGGACTGCCTTGGGATCATACATGCTGGATCGAGACACGGGGTCCCACCGGCCAACTGCTCAGCTGACAGGAAACTGAGGCAGGAAGGATCGAAGACTGCTCACGAGGGTACCCAGCAGCCCCCGCATCCCAGAGCCCGGGCACAGACAGCATCCTGCCCAGCTCCTGGCGGGTGGAGTGGGGAGGTACTCGACAGGGCAGCTGGGGTGCAGGGCCAGTCTGGAGCCAGCGCTGGGGCAGGCTCTGCCCTGGCCAGGCCTCCCTCCCCCAGCACACTCAGAGACACCAGCAACGTCACCGCCAATAACCCAGATCTGAACCAAGGAATCTCACACCCTGCTCTGCCCCACTTACAGGCTGGGCAAAGAGAGCCAGCAGCCGGTCCTGAGCGTGTGAGGCAGGGCAGGGCAGGGCAGCGCCCCGGGGCCCAAGCGCCCACCCTGCGCACACACCGTGCGAGACTGCGCTGCCAGCTCCTCAGGAAACCTGCCGGGGCAGGCAGCAGCCACCCTGTCAGAAATCCAGCTGACGAGGAAGAGGACGGGGCATTGTAGGCGCCTCCCCACCCTGCCCCAGGACAGGGCTGAGCACAGCAGGTGACTGCCTGGCCCCGACTCTGCCCACCCACGGCCACCATGCAGGCCGGTGTTCTCAGGGACAGCAGAACACCAAGTACCCAGGTCTGTGACCTAAGGAACTCTGGGTGCCAGAGTCTTCGGAGGAAGGGGCTCGGCCTTCCTCTTCTCCCCCGGGGGTCCACAGGTGAGGAAAGTGCACACCAGGCAGAGCCCCAGAGTGTATCCAGCACATCCAGGGCCAACACCGGAAGGTGCCAGCCCTGGTCCCTGGCACAGGGAGAGAACTACTGAGCCCAGCCCAGCGGCCGTAGCCTCCGCGTGGCAGAATCCACGCAAGACCCCACATTCCCTGGAGTACCGTGGTGAAGCGGATCGGGTGGGTGCACAGGGCAAGGCTGGCGGCTTCTCTGCAGGCTGAGTGGGCGTGGGGTGTCTCGCAGACACCAAGAGCCTGCCACGCAGTCTGCAGCCACATGCTCCAGAGGTGCCCAGATGTGCCAAGGCTGGGGGGAGCTCCTGTTGCCTCAGGAAGGTGTGTGAACAAGCAGGGGATCCCCTCACTGCAGCCTGGTGCCCCCCACATGGGTGAGGCTGGCAACTGTGGGCGCCAGGAACACGAATGGTCTCTGGGGCACACACAACATACGGCATTTCACACCAGGGCACCCTGGGCCTCGGGGTCCACAGGGGTGTACACTCCTCAGCATGCTCTCACCCAGCCCTGACGCCCACTTGCCGGTGCCAGGCCAGGGAGCAGGCACACAGGCAGGCAAAGCACAGGGGGGTCTCGGCCTCAGGAAGACACCTGCGGTAGGATCAGCCAGGCACCGGGGACTGAGGCTGGAGGCTAGGAGGGAGGGAGACAGCACGTCGGGGTCCCGAGCACTTCACACACAGGGACACTGTGGCCTTGAGCGGCCTGTGACCAGTTCGCAAGTCTGAGGACTACTGAGACCCTCTGAGCCCTTGTCTGCCCAGCCAGCTGGGGCACCCACCTGCAGCTGACGGAGCTGGGGACTGGCCGTCCCCACGTGCTGCCCAGCTCCTCCTCCCACCGCCCCGAGGACCCCGGGCCACCGTCCACTGTGGGCTGGCACATACCTGCATAGCTGCCCGTGGCCTTGATGTACATCTGGCCATACTGCTCCTCCACCATGGTGTCGTAAGCCTCATCATCCTCCTCATCCTCCTCATTGTGGTAGGACGTGGGGCTGTCAGTGGCAGGCAGGCTGCTGGCGCCCGGACTGGTCCGCTCCGCCTGGGAGTAGGGCACCTGCTGGATGCCGGGGATGAGGGTGGCCAGGCTGGGCACCCCATAGTAGGAGACACGGGGCAGCTTGAGTGGGGCCGCACCGGCAGCCACAGTGGCCCCCGCAGCCATGGCCACGCCGTCCCGGGGTCCCGTCTCGAGTGGGCGTTTGGGGGCCAGCCCTGGGCCGGTGGCTGGCGGCAGCTCCGTGGCTTCGTGCTTCACGCGGGTCAGCAGCGGGATGGGCACAGAAGGGGACACCACGTAGGGGGCGGCGGCGGCGGCGGCGGCCGGCTGCAGCTGGTTGCAGGGGCTCTGGGGCTCAGAGCTGGCGTCCTCAATGACAGCCGTCTGTGAGTCGCAGTGGGGCGAGCTCACCTTGAACATGAGGTCGGTGCCGCGCTCCACAATGTGCTGGATCTGGAGGAAGCCAGCCGTGTACATGACCACGAGCTGCTCGCTGGCCGCCATGGTGAGTTTGCCCGTGTAGCAGAAGGACAGGATCTGCTGGAAGCAGGCGGGCGGCACCGTGCCCGGCAGCTCAAACGCACTCTTGCTGTTGCCGCTGAACAGGTCACGGAAGTACAGGCTGCTGGCGGCCAGCACAGCCCGGTGGGCCTTGAAGGCCTGGCCCTTGACCACGATGGACACATCGCAGTAGAGGCCCAGCAGCCGCTGCTCATTCAGGCAGCCCAGCACGGTGTTCCCGAAGTTGGGGATCTCAATGTGTAGCATCTGAGACATGGCGGGCAGCGAGGCGGACGGGCTAGACACGGCGCGGGGCGGCCCGAGCGGGGCACATCTGCGAGAGAAAAGGGTGGTCAGAGGAAGCTGTGGTCCCCCCACCCCCACGTGGAGCCCCCGAGGGGTCCCCGGGGTTTCACATCCAACTTGGGCTGCAGGACCAACTGGAGAGGCCCCCTCACAAACCAAGCTGCTCCCAAGGACCCCCGCTCTCCGGAAGACACAAGGCAGAGGCCTGGGCCTGTGGAGGCACAGGAAGGGACCAGGAGGGCAGCTTAAGTGACCTGGGGAGGGGCCAGGGCCTCAGCTGGGAGAGTCCCAGCAACTCCTCTCCCAGAACAAAAGTTCAGAGCTGCCAGCCCCCCCCCACGTCCCCCAGGGCTTGTGCTGGTCCTCTGGAGGTACTGTGTCTCCCTCTCCCTTCTGAGCAGCCTCACTCAGGGGGCTACCCCTCCCTCCCTCCCTCCGGGGTCCCTGTCCACCCTGGGGAGCCGTGGGCAGGGAGGAGGGTCTGGCGGCTGGAGTGGACTGAGGCTGCGGGGACCGTGGACGCCGCTCACTCCTGCGCCATGCCAGAGCGGCTCAGGGCGCACGGTGTCCCTTTGGCCACACCCGCGTCCCCGGCAGGAGGGACCCTAACCTGGGTCCCCCGCACTGGCAGGTAGGAGCCGCAGTTGGGAGCTCGTCGCAGCCTGATGCACGGGCGCCTGACCCTCTTCCCAGCCAATCCTGCTGGCTCAGGTCCCAGCCCAGGTAACTGACTGAGGGGTCTCAGGAGGCGCCCTGCGTGCCAGGAGGTGGGGCAGGCGGCCACTGTTTATCAGGCGACTATGCGAAGGGGGCGGGGGCCGGCCGGACAAGGCGCTGGCCCGACTCCGCAGGGGCCGCACAAAGGCCGCTGTGTCCGGCGCGAGGAAAGTGCGGGCGGCCGGGGGCGCGGGCGGAGCCACCCTCGCGGGAGCCGGGCAGGTAGGCGCCGCGCCGGAGGCCCGCAGTGCCCGCTGCGGGCAAGTTGCCGCCGGCCGGCCGGCCGCAGGGGAGGAGCGAGGACCTACCTTCGGCGGTGCCGCAGCCGCGCAGTCGGCCCGCAGACTCCCCGCACGCCCGCCCGCCGAGCCGGAATGCAGCACACGCAGCCGAGCCGGGCGGGGAGGGCGCGGGCTCGGGAGCGCGGGGCGCCCGGCTCGGCGGCCGCAGCTCAGCTGCACCCAGGCCGGCTCTCCCGGGCGGCGCGCAGCATCTCAATGAGGCGGCCGGATGCGGACGGAACACTCGCGCAGCTCGGGGAATGAATAGCCGCCTTTGATTTGGGAGCTGAAGTAAATGCCAGCTCCCAGCCCCGGCTTTCAAAACAGTGGCGCGTTGGTGCCAGAGGAATGCGCGGCTCCGGGTGTTGGTGCAAGACAGACTTTTGATGACTCACTGCAAAGCAAACAAAGATGGCAGAAATACTGTACTGCGCGCGGGAGCCCTCGCTGTGCCTCGGCAACTCCGGCAGCCTGGAAATTTATAGTGCAGTTTTGCATATGAATTACCCAGCAAACTGCCTCCCCGCCACCCAGTGCAGCCCCGTGTCAAAGCATTTAAACTATTCCAAACAGTCTGCAGGGCTGGCAGCCGCTGCTGCCTCAACTCTTCCAGGGCTGCGGGAGGCTGGGCAAGGGGGCCGTGGGGGGGGGGGGTCGGGAGCCTGCCGGAGGGGCGCGGCCAGGGAGGGAAGGCAGTGGGAAGGGGTACAGGCCGTCCCTGCCTATCTCGGTCACCCTACTGGGCAGCAGGCGGCAGGTCCTGCCTCAGAGCCCCATCCCCACCGGGCTCTTAAGAAAAGAGCAACTTGGCTGCACAGCTCTGTCCCCATAGAAGGTGGATGCCTGCTGTCCCTCACGTCCCCAGGGACTCCTGGCTGGGGCTGGCTGTCCCCAGGCAGACCATCCACTCTGGATGAAATCCTGCAGTGTCTGTGCTCAGGGACCCCTCCCAGCGCTGCTGCCCCCCACCTTGGAGCCTTTTGCACAGAGGGTCACACAGCAGTGCAGGGTCACACAGCAGTGCAGGGTCACACAGCAGTGCAGGGTCACACAGCATGGACCATGGGGGCTCTGGGTGAACTCAGGGGTGGCCTTGCCTCTGTTTCCCTCTCTACCACCACCAGATGTGGCCCCCAGAAGGAAACACTGCAGCCCGACATCTGCCACCGCGGGCTCAAGGCTTGGCAAGGAGGTAGTGCCGCTCGGCCCCTCGCTCCATGTCCCCTCTGAGTCACCCCGTCCCCTGTTCACACACCACCAGCTCTGCTCTGAGACGGACAGAAGCCCACTGTATGGAAGCCACCCAGGGATCAGCAGGGCCCTCAGCGCCTCCTCCACCTCCAGAGGCCAGGACTCTGCACTCTCTGATGACTTAGGGGAACGGGGACCAGGTGTGTGCAGGAATTGCCCAGGCTCAGCCTGCCAGGTGGGGACTTGGGGTTAATTCTCCCTGGACCGACCCTTCACCCCAGGTCCCTGCTCAGCCCCCAGGGCCAGGTCTCCCCAGGGCAATTTGGCCAACTAATTCATTGCTGGGGGCACTTGGGGTCTTCCACCGGCCTCTGGGGAGGCAACCTCAGGCCAAGGCCACAACATGGGGAGCCCCCTGAGCCAGATGGGGTCTCCTCTGTGTACAGGGGACCCAGCCCATACATGGTGGGCAAAGGGTGTTGTCCCCAAAGGGTATCAGTGACCCAGTGCTAGGCCAACCAGGGGCAGGGTCTACAGGAGAGCACAAGGCTCCTGCAGCCCTGGACGCAGCAGGAGCACTGGGCCAGGGGCCCGGGATGGGCACAGAGAAGCACGGCAGCGCTGGTGGTGACCCACAGTGACCCGCCAGGCAGGTCAGCATGTGCACCTTGGGGACCTGTGCCTGGCTTCCCCAGAGAAGGAGCCATTGTCCCCAGGAGCTGACAAGGCTGCCTGCTGCCCCGGGACTAGGACAACTGGCTCTTCTGCAGCGCTGTCCCCAGGCCACCTGTGCTGGCAAGGACGCTGCCCGCACCCGGCCCCTGAGGACCGGACAGGGGCTGGTTTTAGGTTGCTTTCTTAGAAGCCTCGGTGGGGCAAGAACAAAGCTGAACTTTAGCAGGAAGGATTCAAGCAGGCTTGGCTGGCGCTGCACAGGCCGGGAAAGCGGGGCACCAGGGGCCAGGCCTGGCCATGGTGGGGCGGGTCCCGCACTGTGGCATTTAGCTGTGTCCCGTGTCCCACCACCGCTCTTCTGTGACTTGGTTTCCCCTCCTTGATTCCCAAGCAAGGCCACTCCTCTGCTTCTACTCCACAGTGAGAGTCCAGTTTAGGAAGTCCCTGAAGGACTCTGAGAACTCTGTTTATCCAGCTGTCTTCAGAGCCACTGCACTGAGGAAACTCCCCCTCCTAATGCCCCTCGGAGTGGAACCCACTTTGGGAAACCCACGCAAACAATCCAAATCCCAAGCCCAAACCCCACGGTGGTGCCAGCTTTAGGGTCCCCTCGTACTGCCCCTCACACACACAGAGGAAAGAGCTGGTGCTGGGAGGGTGGGGTCTGCATAAGACCCTGAAGAAGCTGGGGTCTAGACTCCAGGTGTCTGAGAGGAGCACTACCGGCACCCCGCGCCCCAGGGCCAGGCCATCCCACGGCAGGGAGGCCCTGCGGGGCTCAGCCCCCAGGCAGAGCTTGAGTAAGGACATGGATGCCCAGGCCTGGGTGCCTGAGGTTCCAGGCACCCACCCCAGCCCTCAGAGCCCCCGCCCCCATGCTGGGACGCCCCTTTCGCTTCTACAGGAATGCCACCAATGGAGGACAGGACAAGATAGATTGAATTAAATAAGATCATTCTGTAGGACTGAATTTCTCCAATCTAATAAGAGGGTCTGGACCTCGACAAAAGCACAGGCAACGTGGGGGTGGGGGTGGGGTGGGGGGGGGGTGGAGGGGTCTTGGTACCCGAAATGTTGTATAAAGGAGGGAGCGCCCCCGGCGCCTTGGCCCCGCCTCTGGGGAGAAACAGCCTGCAGCGAGATGGACGCTTAGACTCACGGCGGCATCGCCCGAGGATATGGCACGCTGCTCCCCAGGTTGGCAGGACAGCAGAGCAGGTTGGACCCCCAGACCGCAGGGAGCACCTCACACCGTCCAGGGCTGGCAGAGTCATGGCGGCACCCCTGACTAGGTGTCACAGGGGTAAGCCGGGCCTGGGCTGACCTAGCTGTGGGCTGGGCTTGTGCTGGTCCCCAGCAGCTGGGGCGGGGGGGGGCACAAGGTCAGGCCCCGAGGTTTGCACTGATCTCTTCAGCCGCCCAGGGCAGAGCCAGGCTACCCAGAGCCTCGCCTTGCCCTGAGGGACTCGCTGGCCCCCAACAGGACCAGGCAGAAGGGGCCGGGGCGGCAGGCGGGGTCTCGGCTTCTAGATGCTAACCCCCCCCAGAGGACCCGGACAACCCGTGACCACACAGGCTCCTTGGTCCACCCCTCCTCCACGGGGCGCAAGGTAGAACCTGAGGCAGCGAGGGCCAGCCCTTGCTGAGGCCTCAGAGCCATGTGCCTCTGGGCCTGAGTACCCAGCCACCACCTCCTGGCTTGCTGCGCTGGCCCCAGGCACCACCACCAAAGCGCAAGGCCCAAAGGGAGTGCCTGGCCCACTCACAGACCCCACTGGGGTACCCAAAGCCCAGCAGGGCCCTGCTTGCAGGCTGCCCGGCCCTCGCCCTTGGTGCAGGGCAGGCCAGCAGAGTACCAGGGTGAGGGTCCCCACCTGCCCAGCCCCCAGACCACTGAGGTGGTCAGTGAGGAACAGGAGGGGTGCCTGGAGGAGGTGCCTGCCCCACTGCACCCCCAGGCCCCCAGCAGTGCCATCCGACCGCAAGCCTGGACAGCGGTGGCCACAAAGCCAGTTTTAACCACACTAACAAATGTTTGCCCGGAAGCTTGCTTGCTTGCTTTTCTTTCTTTTTTTTTTCCAGAAGGAGAGGGCAGTGTGCCAGGATCTGCAGACTCAGAAATCTGCTTATCAGCACCCCCAGGTTCCGAGAGGGGACGCGGCTGGGGAAGGGCATACACACATCACGGGCGACGGCGGGTCCCCAGGACCCCCAGACAGCAGCACTCAGCTCAGGGGTCGTGCTTTGCCGTGAGAGCCATCCCATGCCTGCGCCTGGGGAGCCACAGAGCAGGTGGCACCTGCGGGCACCAGCTGCCCTGATGATGGGCGCGGGGCTGGGAGCTCTGTTTGGGATCCCACTGGCCCCGCCCCACCCCACCCACCCAGCACACCCTTCTCTTCCCCAGCCCAGGAGCTCTTCCAGAAGGTTTCCAAAGACTTCAGTAGTGTTTAGAGAGGAGCTGCACTCTCACTCGCTCACCAATATTTGTAATTTAAATAACAGGAGCATGAAGAGCATCTCCCTCGGGCACCGTTTAATAACTTAAAAAGCCAGCGCCAGCCCCGCCTGCTCCAAGCAGCCCCTCTGCTCTCAGCCAGGCGGGGTCTCCCTGCTCGGGCTGGGACACCAGGCAGCCGCTGTGGGCAGGGCCTGGGTAGGCAGTTGGCCGTGCCACCTCCCTCCCAGGGGCCCAGACGGTGACCAGGACCCTGGGGACCCTCAGCGCGGGCCCTGTGCGGCAATGGGAGGCAGGCACAGGGGGTGGGTGTCCCGCGCGTGCGGGCCGTGGGTCACCGCTCTTCCCAGACGCTCTTCCCAGCACACCCATCTTTAATATTCATAGCTCTCCTCATCTGCATACCATGCCATAAATAGTCGAGGAGAGGTAAGACACAAAGATCCCCTGCATTCCTAATTATGCTTAAAAATCTAATGTAAATCAGAGCGACACAGAAGTACTAAATCAGCCGCGAGTGGAGGGCCGCAGCTGTAAAGAGGCCACGGCAGAGGGCTGCCCCCCCTCCGCGCCCCTGGCAAGGCCACCCAGGGGACCCCGGGCCCAACTTCCCTGCGAGTAGGAGCCCGCTGAGAGCAGGGTAAAGTCCCCTCCAGGGCTGCTGTCCTGACCCCCTGGCCAGCCCCACCCCACATGGATGCCAGGGCAAGCAGCAGGTCCTGTGGTGGTGGCACT